GGGGGCCTGACTCAGGTGTATATACATATAATTTACTACATAATACACCAGTGTCATAATATTTTTAATAAAATGGAATAGCGCCAGAGTAACAAACAATTTAACTGCATGTCACCCAGCATGTTTTGACATGAAATTTGGCATGGTGCATCCATGCCTTGTAGGTGGGGGTGTAAGAGGGAAAAGGGGGGACTTCCTCATAATTCCCATATAAATTTGGGAGGTATGGAGTTTGGCTGGAACTTAGGGGCAGATGGAGTCTGGCTAATGTTTGGTGCGATCAACAGTAGAAAGGATTACTACTGCGCCAACACATGAGAGCTTTCATAGGTGCGGTGACACCACTGTGACATCTCTAGGAAGGACCTGTCAGCCATTCGTACCTCAGCCATGTTGGAAGTATTGGACACCCCGTGCTCCCATGCGGACTGATCTCAATGGTAGAGCTCCTTGGATCTACTGAGGGGTTGCAGGTTCGAGTCCTGTAGTTCACATCCTTTTACAGGAAGCGCATACATGGTCAACAAGCCCAGCAACAACCCGACGAGAATCTCGAGGGCCATTCAAGACATCCGCAGACAACGTTCTTTGGTTTACGAGATACAATATGTCTTCGGGAAAGAAACGATCGGGTGCCGAGGAAACTTCCACGCCATCTTCAGCCAAACGGTCTAAGAGGTACGAAGATAATGATCCCAAGGTTTTTGTTGATGGTTGATGGCTGATAAAATAATGGCCCACCTCCCGATCTGTGTAGCTCATCGGTCAGTCCGCAGCCTTCATACCGTAGCAGACTAATGCCATACCACAACAGATCAAGGCCATGGAGCTAAAACCTATATCACTGCGTGCCGTGCTCTCTCAGACTGCCACTACCCTATCGTTTCTGCCACCCAAAGGCGACCTTCACAGTATTGTTAATCAACAAGCACCGAACCAATCGCTTCCATCTAAACCTGCAGTAGTTACGGTGCGTTACTAGTTCGGAACTGTGTTTGCAATTGTCCAGATAACTAACTTCCAGTGGTTGGCTTTGGTTATTAACGTAGTCCTCGGAAGACATAGCCCGCAAAAGGGCCGAGATTGCAGCTAAATTCGCCTCGTTCAAGAGTAACCTCTCGACGGGCGGTTCCAATGTCTCCCTTGGCCCATCGACGAGTGTTCAACCTAGTGTTGGCCTTCCAAGCTTACCCAATATTGATCCGAATCTGGCCAAGAAGGTGGCTGAGGCGCGAAAGACTGTCGAGCAATTGACGGCGAAGGCCAAGAACCCATACTTGGTCAGATTGTGTTAATCTTGTACCCGCTCTCGACGGTCCAAGTCCTGACCTTCCAGAAATAATACAGTCCGGGCCGTCTGATCCAGTAGAACCAGTTTCGATGACCACCACCGGCGTTCATCCCTTACTGATCGGACTTGATAAAGGTTTATCCAGTGGGAACGGTGTGAATGATCGATATAAGCCTATGGTTCCTAAATTTGCTACAGTAAAGGTGCGTCAATAAGCATAACTGGTATCGAAAATTGTCTCACTTTGTCCACAATTTGATAATTCCGTTTTCTTCTTCTTCTTTTAGGCAAATGTTGCCAAGCCTACTAGTCATGCGCCTAAAAAGAAAGACTTATATCAGATGTCCCAAGTTGAAGCAGATCCGGTGGCACTCGACAACCGTGCAAATCCTCATTTCGATAAATCCCTGGCAGGTCCTATAGGAGATCCTTCCGGGATTGTACGAACTAGAGCAACCCGTAGCTTAAGATTTAACCCCAAAGGAAAATACATTCGACTTGCAGAGCAAATTCGAGCAGAGGTCAGACTAGAGGAGTTGAAGCGCCGAATAGCAGAAAGCTCTCGCAAGGCGGGACTGGATGGTGAAATTGAGGCTGTAGAAAAGCAAGTTAGAGTGGGTGCTCTCACCCTCCAGCCTCATGACCTGACTGCCTATTGACCCTTCTTCTTTCTTGGCTCGGTTCCTAGAGACCTGAGCCTCCCGATTGTGAATGGTGGGACGAAGACTACCTTCCCAACAGGTCATATAATGATCTAGACGATGGGACGGCATCGAAATTTATCAGTTCCACCGAATCTCCAATCACCATCTATGTTCAACACCCCATCCAGCTCCCTGCCCCGGGCGATAAGGAGGCTGTAGCACTGAAGCCGTTAAAACTCACTAAGAAGGAACAGCGGAAAATGAGAAGGCAGCGACGCATGGCTGAGCTACAGGATAAACAAGATCGACAAAGGATGGGTCTATTACCTCCTGACCCACCGAAGGGTTAGCAACCATACACCAGTCATCCACCCTCTTTGGATTTTGGTACATCTAACCGAGTCTCAGGGTTTTTGCGTTTTTCTGTTTGTGCCTACAGTTAAATTATCAAACATGATGAAAGTGTTGACATCGGATGCAGTAGCGGATCCCACCAAGATTGAAGCTCGGGTTCGAAGAGAGATGTTACAGCGCAAGAAGACCCACGAGCAAGCCAATGAAAAACGAAAACTAACCGATGAACAGCGGAAGGAGAAACTTGAAAAAAAGAGGCAATCGGATGAATCGAAGGGCATCCTCACCACTGTTTACAAGTTTGTTCTGCATGTGACCTTCTGATGACTTATCTTGCTTGCCGTTATAGACTAGTCTAACTCAATGTTTGTTGGTAGGATTAAGTATCTGACTAACCCAGCGCATCGGTTCAAAGTCCGTCGAAATGCGGAGCAGCATGGCTTAACGGGTGTCTTGATTTTCAATCCTCGGTTCGCTCTAGTAGTCGTCGAGGGGGGCTCCAAGGCGATTAGAGCCTACAAGCACCTCATGTTGGAGCGAATCGACTGGACAGCAGAGGCCCGATCTCGGACCCCAGATGAAGAACGAGGTGAAGTACAATCAGCCCCAGCTGCGGCTGATGGAGAAGAGCAGCCTGTCGAACCACAATCGCTGGCCGAAAACAAGTGCGAGATGATCTGGGAAGGCGACGGAAGAGAAAGGGTCTTTAATAGTTTTAGACCGAAGAATTGTCCTTCTGATGCCATTGCTAGAGAGTTTTTGGGCTCTAGGTTGGGCTTCTGGTTCGTTTCATATACACTTCACATTCCCCACTATCCTCTTGGGTACCCTTTCAACTGACTCTATCCCTCCCTTTGTCTGTGGGATGGTTATTCTCATTTTTCTGTAGGGATCTAGCCAAGAAATGGGGCGACGACACCGTTAGCTGAATGGTAGATGACACTTCTCCACATCTTAGTTACTGTGATAGGCCCCAGTAGCGTCATTCTGGCACCAAATACGAAGACATGGACGACCAGTCTCTGTTCAGGATTCAACTTATATGTCCATGTTTATCCTCATCCGACCAGTCACTGAATTTTGGGCTCAATTTTGTCCACGTGTCTATCTATCCCCATCGGTGCCGTGTATTTAGATTCTTGTATTTTCTGGCCATTCCTTCTGCATGCCATGAGATTTAATCAATCTTGTGACATTTGGTCCTTTAGTGCACTGACAACTAGAGATAGAAGCCCACCTTTTTTTTGATTCCTGGTTTTTGCACAACCAAGTTCAAGTTCATTGGAGTGGTAACTGGGTTGGGGAGTCACTTGAATAGCAAGAATATCTGACAGTTGGTACTGACACAGTTGACGGCAAATTAGCTTTCCCCATTTTGGTAGATACACAATGTGTGTAGACCCTGGCATCTCCTTTCTCCCAGCCGTCGATCCTCCAGCGGCCGGGATGGCACCGGACCATTCTTCCTGCCAGAATATGCCTCTCCGCAGTCTGCCCGTCACTTTCAGATGGGTTTCTGAATCACCTGTCATCCATGCTGCCAACTTGCATAACAACCGCAAGATTTGATGTTTCAATATTTCAGCCAAAAGGGCTCATCATGGCTTATTGGTTGCATCTTTTTTTTTTCTCTTTTTTTTTGGTAAATTACTCCTCTGTTGATGCTGGTATGACCAGGTTATTCATGATGATTACATCATCTGGTTTCTTGTAATCTTTTTGATGATCCACCTGTCTTGTCCATGTTGAAAATATATCTTTTTTTCTTGTTGTCTTCTTCTCATCTTTTTGATCTCACATCTATTTGGGTTACACTTCACTGGCTCTTTGATCTGTTGGTATTTTCTTGTGATTGGCTCACATTTTTGTATCCCAAATATTTTTTGCATTTTGTCAGTATATAATCAAATATATATTTTCGAAGATTTTCACTTGATGGTAGATTTGTTTTTATGATTGGTAAATATAATAAAATATTGTTCACAGCTTTACTGAAACGTTAGACAAACCCAAGTCAGGGGAGTTGAGGAGAAGCAAAAGGAAGGCTATGGTCAACAGTGGGCCGCTACGCTACACTACGCTACATGGCTGATAACCGTTAGCGTAGCGCTTTTTTTTTTCTTCCAACTTTCTGTAGTGTTAGTTGTATTTTGATTCCGCTAAACT